ATGACATGATATTGTATAAAAAACTCTAAAGAATCCACTCCCAAACTTCTAGATCTAATATCTGAATTCAGCAAAGTTGCAGGATACAAAATTAATATACAGAACTCTGTTGCATTCCTATACACTAACGATGACCTAGTAGAAAAAGGAATCCGGAAAACAATTCCATTCACAACTGCATCAATAAGAATAAAATTCTTAGGAATAAATCTAACCAAGGAAGTGAACGACATATACTCTGAAAACTACAAGACACTCATGAGAGAAATTAAAGAAGATACCAATAAATGGAAATACATCCTGTGCTCATGGATAGGAAGAACTAATATTGTCAAAATGGCCATCCTGCCTAAAGCAACCTACAGATTCAATGCAATCCCTATCAAAATACTGACAGCATTCTTCAACGAAGTATAGCAAATAGTTCTAAAATTCATATAGAACCACAAAAGACCCTGAATAGCCAAAGCAATCCTGAAAAGGAAGAATAAAGCTGGGGGTATGTGTTCCCCAACTTCAAGCTCTACTACAAAGCTACAATAATCAACACAATTTTGAACTGGCAGAAGTACAGACCAATGGAACAGACTAGAGAGTCCAGGCAGAAAGCTCATCAAGACTTCTCTGCCAATATTTTGTGATGTTACCAGAATTATATTTGAAAATCAGACCTGAATTTGGATGTGGATCTAAATAATTTTTCCATAAGATAAATCAGGCTACTTTCAGAGACTTGCTTTTGTTGGTTTTTTATTATGGAAAATTTCATTCATACATAAAGTTACATAGAACAGGCATCTGTATTTATGACCCAAATTTAGGAATTACCAAGAACTTTAATTTGCACTGATATTGGAATATTATTACTGATTTGAGGTTTTATGGTCATTATTGTGATCCATACTTTTTTCTCCAGTTTACAGAAAAATTTAGAGCCTAATTTGTACAAGATCCATCGAAATCATAAAGCATCCTGGGCCTCCTGGCAGTCTTGATTTTGTTTAAAAGTTAAGTCACCCTGCCCTTAAAGTACTTACAAAGTGATATTAAATATAAAAATTTTAAAGTGTACTTCTTTACTTAACATAGACCTATCAGATGAAGAATCAAAAGGAGAGACCGAAAATGTACTTAAAAGAGTCCCAAGCCCTTGCACTTGTATGTTTGGAAAGTTTGGTTGAGTTGAATCATGCCCCAAGAATTCCTGTCTCCTACCTGTTTTTTCTTTCTCTTTTGGAAACATTTCCCAAATGCTTCTAGCCTTAACTTCTAAGATAGCTCTCATTGTGCAATGATAGTGTTTCTGATATGCGAATTAGGTATTGGGATGTTAATAGCATTCTAAATGTGTGTGGTATTACTTGTAAGACATCAGAAAAACTTAGGACATAATGGAATCAATTAACACATTTTCTAATGATTGTTTCACATTTCTTTTTTGTGGCTGTGTGATAAGCAGTGCTATCTGTGGTAAAGAGTTTTGAGAGTTCGAAGTCTACTGTAAATTGTATTGAGACAAGGACCATGGGCTTAGACAGAGTAGGGTGAGGGCCTCTGGAAAAAACGAAAAGCAAGATAATCCATTGTCACATTTGCTTTGGCCTACTGAGGGGGGCCCAGCTTATTTTTCTAAATTGACCCAAGTGCTGCTTTTCTTCTTCCAGCCCTAAACAAATGATTTGTTGCAACTTAGGCAATGTAACAAGGAAGCCCAAAACAACATAGTAAAAACAGGAAGGATTCCATCTTAAAACCCAGTTAGTTAAAGTTTCTTGCACTATAACTCAGCCTACCTTGGGAGCAAAGAAGGCAGTCTTGAGAGTGCTCCCAGACCAAGACTCCAGTATCCCAAGGAGAAATCAGAGCAGTAAATTCCTAATTTAAATTAATTCTAAATATTCAGGGACCACTTAACAAGTCCACACCCCTCAGTTTTTTTTCACATTCCCAAATATCCTCAACTGCCTATAAAACCCCCTAGACAACGCACCACTACAGGCTCTCTTGTCCCCTCCTGGCATGAGCCAGGAGCTCTATCTGTCCTCTCACTGTATCTCTCAGTAAGTCTCCGTGGCTCTCCTACCTTGGGTGTTTGCTAAGTTCATTCTTTGACTCCACTAACAAGAACCCTGGCATCAATATTAGGAGCAAATATAAAGCACACTGATGCTAATTAGTACTTAGACAAAAAGTCTTCATTTTTTTTTTAACAAATAATAAGTTGGCTCTGCAAATCCCACAGTTCCCTTTTAAAAGATATAATTAACTCTGTAATTAATAAAGTGAATAAGAACTTTTAATTAAATCATAACTACCTTGTTATCCTGGAAAAATGTAAGATTTTCTCTTCTCAGGGACATAGGTATTAGCACTCCTTGTTATTGTGCTTTCTGTAAATTCACCACATGAGGGTTGCATACATATTTTTTCTGCAGTTGATCCTAACATATCAGAGTGCAGGACTGACCTTTAAGGGTGTATTCTTTTATGAGTGTCTCAATAAATGTCTTTACTTCCCACTCCTACAATTTGATGAAGGCAGTCAAGATATAATTACAGCTTTCTTAACCTACCCTATTCTGTGTTTTCCCCAGCCTTAGATGTCTCTCTTAAGTGCTAAAATAAAGCTTTGGGGAATTTGAAACTTTCTGGTTGACAATTGTAAAAATGTTAATGCTGATGAGACAGGGACCATGGGCTTAGACAGAATAGGGTGAGGGCCTCTGAAAAAAGCAAGGCAGGATATTTATAGGCAGAGCAATGTAACTATATGCAAGGAAACCCTACCAAAATTCTGTTAAACATTAAGCTCTACAGTCATTCTTCAGTGAGATCAGTTAATATTCCCCAGATAAAGAAGAGTAGCACATGTTTTTATTATGCTAATTATTTGTTATCATGTGTAAGATTCACTTTAGCATGCTAGAAGGCCCAGGCCTATGTGCTGTCTTTCCTCCTTCAGATCTGAGGAGGTGATTTGGCAAACTGGGCAACTAATTTAGCGTGCAGATCCAGCTGTAAACAACATAGTAAAAGGCAGGAAGGATTCCACCTTAAAGATAAGAGTACATTTTAACACCCAGGAAGTTTAACAAGTAAGATTCTTAACTTACTCTTTAGCAAACAAACAGTACCTCAGCCCACCTTGGGAGTTGGGCAAACGGCCTTTTGATGTGCTCCCAGACCAAGACACCTGTATCCCAAAGAGAAATTAAGGCAGGAAATTCCTTAAGTTAATTTTTAATATTTAGGGACCACTTAACAAGTCCACACCCCTAAGCTTTTTTTCATGTTCCCAAATATCCTCAACTGCCTATAAAACCCCTAGACAGCGCACCACTACTGGCTCTCTTGTCCTCTCCTGGCATGAGCCAGGAGGTCTGTCTGTCCTCTCACTGTATCTCTCAATAAAAGTCTCCCTGGCTCTCCTACCTTGACTGTTTGCTAAGTTAATTCTTCGACTCCGCAAACAAGAACCCCGGCATCACTGATATAAGGTGGTGGTACTTAGGGCTTGTCAATTTCAAATGTGCAGAGGCTTTTCAGAATGGATATGGATATATCAGCCCCTCATGTAGAGGGATTGTGTGTCTGGTAGAAGTGTGTGCTTGGTGTGCCCTCCAAGCAATATCTAATTGTGAAGTTTAGTTATTTAATCAGTAACAACTGATAATGGGCTTTTAAAGCACATTGTAGCTTCATTAGTGTCCTTGGAAATAAATACCCAAGATCATGAGCAAGTATGGCAAGCTATTGATTCACACCTTACAGTCACTGATAGAGTTTATACAAATAATTAGCATAATAGAGTTGTTCTGCTCCAGTTGTCATCATTTTTGGCTCATGGCTGCTTATTGCATCAACTCTTTAAGCCTTCATCATGATTATAAAGCAGATTTTACATTGCCTTTTATCTGTGATTTTCAACGGTTCTGTGTAAATATTAGTCAGTGGAAGTATTCACTATCTTTACAGTGTATTTCAGCAAGGAAACCACAGCATGGAGAGATTTGTCATGTATTCCAGTCAGCTGAGTCTATGCCTCTGTGTCTGTGAATTGTCGGTTTTCATGTTTGAGATATTTGAAAACAATATTTTGTATAAGAGCAAGTTAGTTGTTTTGCTGTCACTGATATTAATCTAACCTGTCTGATTGGTCTATGGGCTAAACATTTGTTTTTCACATTGTATGTCCATAACTATTGTTTTGACCCTGTAAAAGTCAGTTTTCCTAAAGATTATTCTCAAATGTTCCTGGATTTTTCCTCTTTTATTAATCTAATTAATAAGTGATCTTGAGGATTTTTCTGCTGAGTTCAAGTTACACAGGCATTTGCTGTTTTGGTAGCATGTCTAAGAAAACAAGAGATATCACTGGTCCTACTGTAATTCAAAAACCCAAAGCGCTAAACAAAAGAGCATGTATTTATTTTAACATTCCTAGTCTCTATGGGTTGGTGATTTTAGAAGCTCACATGAGTCTTGGTGCATATTGCTCTGTCTGCTTCAAATTGCATTTTCATTTCATAGCCCTCACCTAGAGCAGCATATTTATATGTTAATATTTATAGAAGATTAACATTTAAAGAGAAATGTGCCACTTGAATGAAGGTCTTTTTAAGGGAAGAAAGCTAAGGTGGAGTAGTGAATGTGTTGGCAGCCTGTCAACCAGGAAGTCCAGACAGTCTTACCATTCATTTCAGTTAGCAGAAGCTGGCCATTGTTATTTATGAGGTTTGGAAAATGTACAATTTTAATCATAGAAGTTTTCTTAGAATCTAATATGCTTGATTATAATTATGAATATTTTAAGCATATAGAAGAATTGAGAGAATAGCATAACAAATATGTGTGCCTATCGTCTCCTTCCATCAAATCCTGATGTTTCCGATACTTGCAGTGCTTTTCTTTTTTAAGAAATAAATCAAAATGGATATAGTTAAAGTACCTATATAATCCTCCCCAAATTAATTTTTTTCTCTTCTTCCCTTCCTCTTCAGAGGTAACTACAGTCTTGATCTATATTGCATATGAATATATCAACACACAAGGTAACTTTGTTTTCCATGTTTTCAATAATAACCTAGACAGCACTATACCATAATACACAACATTCTGCAACTTGTTTTTCATTAGCTTGGCATTTAGGTTTTTAAGTACAGGCATGTTGATATTTATAGTTTGGTCATTCATTTTTAGCTGTTATATAATGTTCCATTGTATGTATCTATGTCATTCATGTATTTCCTGTTGGTAGATATTTAGGTTTTGGTTGCTTGGCTTTTACAAACAATGCAGCAGTGAGTACTCTTGGAGGGATCACCTTGGGTACCTGTGAGAAAGTTGCTCTAGGCCCTAAAGGATGTATATGCTAAAGTGCAATTGCTGAATTGAACCGTATATGCATTTCAGCTTTACTAAATATTGTCAAATTATTCTCTAAAGTATTTCCATTAATTTATACTCCTGCCAGTGATGTATAAGAGTTCTGTTTCATATTCTGATCACTCTTATTTTAATCAGGACTTACATTCTTGGCATATGATTGGTATGTAATGGCTTTTCATATTGCTCTAATTTTCATTTTCCTGATTATTAATGAGCTTAGCACCATTCATTCAATGTATGAATTAAATACTGCTAGATGTCAAGCAGAGAGTCCCATGTGCTCACATTCTGGTAAAGGGAGATGAAAAGTGGGTAGACAAAAAAAGTACGTGATATCTTAGATGGTAATAAGTGCCATGGAGAGTGAGAGAAGAGAGCAAGTACCATGTAGATAATTGGAGGATGAACATTCCAGGCAGAGGGAATAACAAATTAGAAGACCCTCATGTGAGACATGTTCCCCGTGACATGAACTACAAGGAAGCTAGGGCAGCTGGAATAGAGTCTGTAAGGGAGTAGGAGATGAGATGAGAGAATTGATCAGGTGCCTTATAAAGACTGTCTTTCTCTTTGAGGGTGATTACCATCTGAAATGTGAGGGTTCGAAAAGAGGCATTTAGAGTAGGCAGTTACTTAGATTTAAACAGGAGAAAAGGGCCAGCTAATCACCAAGAAAGAGTCAGCCCTGGCCAACCAATCCCTAAGCCTTCTTGAGTTCCCAGTTTTATAGTCAAGGACACCTAGATTGTCAAGGGGCCTGGGAACACAGGGGCTTCCCTGATGGCAGGGCATGTCCAAGGTCTGAAAACCTTGTCCGAAAGTAACCCCACGTCATTAAAATAACATCTCAATCTACTTAGCATTGTGATTTTGGCCCTCCGGTGGTCTTCACTAGGTACTTATGGCTAAGGTGCCTGCACACTGAGAATAAGGTTGATAGCTCTAGATCATGTAACTATCTAGAGCTATCTAGAGCAATCAATAAACCTGTCAATCAGATGACATAAGACACAGGGCAGGACTTCCTGCCATCTTAAGGAAAAGTAAAAGCCACCTTAACCCAAACAGAGGGCTACTTCTGGTTTCCAGATAGCCCTGCTTCCTGTCTTTAGAGTGTACTTTTCGCTTTGACCCAGTAAATTCCTTGCTGATTTTTCTTACTGTCTGGTCTCTCGACTGAATTCTTTCCATTGAGAAGACAAGAATTAGGGAAACAATGCCTTCAATTGGTAACACAGTGATGTGATTTTATTTAGGCTTTGAAAGGACCACTCTAATTACTCTGGTCAGAGTTCACTGTAAGTAAAAAGAGGCTAAAGGAGGAAGCAAGGAGACTAGTTATATTTAAGCTGTTATAATCCAAGGAAGAGATGATGGTGATTTAGTCCGGGGTGGAGATGAAGGTGAGAAGTGTTCACAGTCTGGATATCTTTTGAAAGTAAAGTCACCAAGATAGCTGATTTATTAAATGTGGGATGTGAGAGAAAAAGTACAGAGTTTTTGGCCTGGAAACTGGAAGACTAGAGTTACCATTCATTGAAAGGGATCTAAGGAAGAAGCAGTTTGGAGAAGAGAGAAAATAGGAGTTTGATTTTGAACAAGCAAGCTCTAGATGCCTCCTCAGCACTCAGGTTAAGGTGTTGATTCAGCAGGTAGATAAGAGTCTAGAATACAAAGATGTCTGAGCTAGAGGTGTGGGTGTCAGCATAGAAGACTGGCTAAAAGGCATTGAAACTAGATGAAGGCCTGAGTGAAGAGAGAGAAAAGAAGTTCAGGAAGAACCTTGAGCCAATCAAATGTTTTGAGTTTGGGAGGATGAGGCTTATAATAAGAAAGACTGAAGAGGAGTACTCAGTAAGGAGGAGGAGAACCAAGAGCAAACAGTACCCTGTAGAGACTGTTTCAAAGAAGGAATGGTTGTTGATCTCAAATATGGTCTGCTAGGTCCAGTAAGGTAAGTGCTGAGACTTGACCTTTGTTTTTAATAATATGGAGGTCATTAAAGGCTTTCACAGGAGCTGTTTCCTAGAGTAGTGAAGAGACAAAGGCTAGTAGGTTTGTGTGCCTTCAAGAGAATAGGGAGACAGGATCTGGCGTTAGCAAGAACAGACATTTCTTTTGAAGATTTCTCTCCGAAGAGGGTTGGGGGGGTGGGTAGGTAGAGAACTGAACCATTGCTGGAAAAAGATATGGGATTAAAGAGTTTTTCAAAGATAAGGACAATGGCAGTGTTTTTGATGCTGACATGAATAATGTAGTAAATGGGGGGAATTAAAGATGTATAAAAGAGAGAACTGCTGGAATGAGATTGAGTAGATGAAAGGAGACAGGGCTCAGCATCCGATGGAGGGTTTGGTTTTAGTAGGAGCACAGACTGTTATCCATAGTTGGAAAGGGAAAGCAAGAGTATTTTGGCACAAATGTAGGTAAGCTGATAGATTCTGATTGATTTTATTTTCTCAGTGAATTAGGAAGCAAGGTCTTCTGCTGAGTTTGCAGGGTGGGGGATAGATAGAAGTGAGAAGAGAGGAAAAGGTATGACCTAATCATCCAGAAACTATAAAAATAGTTTATAGTTACAAGGCCACATCATGGTCCATTTGGAGTCAGTGGTTGTAGGTGTGTAGTGAGGTCAGTCAGCAGAGCTATGTGGTTCTTTTTTCTCTAGTCAAGTTCACCGTGCAGTTTATGTACAAAGTAGTATTCATCTAGGATTAAGGTTTTCCTGATAATACTACAGGAATAATGCTATAGGAAGAGGAAGCAGTATATTTTGAGGGTGTGTTCAAAGCGGGGGATAATGATGGACAGTGGGCATCAAGTTGTGTGAAGGACAGTGAAAAGGTGGTAGAATCAATGGATTGTAAAGCTGTGGTTTAAAAATTTGGAGTAAAGATATTTGAGGAGGTGAGTTGAAAAGAAAGGGGATGGCTGGAGAATAGGATGCTAGAAATTGTGATTTGTGGAGCTGGCCAAGTTATTGGTAATGACAAATTTAGGGGCTGACTGTGGGAATGAGTGTGGTGTGGCCAAGTGAAAAACCAGATTCTAAAAGGAGAGGAGGATGTCATGCATCATCTACGCAGCTATTTAAATCATCATGAATTTTGTTTCGAAGAATTAATCCATTTTCCTAGGTTGCCCAATTTGTTGGCATATAATTGTGCATCATAGTCTCTTATGGTTCTATGTATTTCTGTGGTATCAGTTGTAACATCTTTTTCATTTGATTTTATTTGAGCCTTCTGTTTTTCTTGGTAAATTATGCTAAAGGTTTGTTGATTTCATTTATCTTTTAAAGAATCAGCTCTTAGTTTCATCGATCTTTTTCATTGTCTTTTTAGTTCCTATTTCATTAATTTCTGCTCTGATCTTTATTCTTTTCTTCCTTCTACTAACTGTAGGTGTCATTTGTTCTTTGGTATGAATGTCAGCTTCAGTTTTTCTTTGTTTCTTGATATAGGTATTTATCACAATGAATTTCCCTCTTAGAACTGTTTTGCTGCATCCTATAAGCTTTGGTATGTTGTTTTTCCATTTTCATTTGTCTCAAGGTGTTTTTTTTTTTGATTTATTAAATCATCCTTCATTTTGATGAGAACAGTGTTGGAGAGAATATCATGGCCACAAGCTGAAACCTTTAGGGAATGAGGTTGGGGGTGTCATGTTAATGACTGCAACAAGGAGAATTAGGGATGGTTGGGTCTGATAATGTGAGATTGAAAGTTGGAATTTAGGGAAGCAGGTAAAACAGTAGTTTGGAAGTGGCAATAAGAGATTAGAACACCTACTCCATCTCCAGGCCTAATGGGAAAAGGAGTGTGAGAATGAAGACAGCCATGTCTGAAGAGGGCTGTAGGGATTGCCAGGTTTCAGTTGGTGATGGCTTTCAACCCTGGCTGCACATTAAAATCACCTGGGAGGATTTGTAAGCATACCATTTCCTGGTTCCCGGCCCCCAGAGATTCTGACTCAGATAGTCTGGCTGGAACTCAGGCTTAGGTAATTTTTTTTTTTTAACTCCTAGGTGATTGTATATGCAGCCAGGGTTGTGTCCCAAGCAGGAATGTTCTGATGGAAGGTTGAGTAATTGGGGATTATGTGTTGCTGAGGGCGTAGGGAAAGGGTTTGGGAGTTTGAGAGAGGTGGGGTGTCTTTAAAAGCTTATTGGTATATATGGCCCTTTGAATTTCTATGAGTTGCCTATTCATACTCATGAGTCTTTTCTTCTTTTTTTTTAATCTTCATGAATAATTTTTTTATTATGATATTATTAATATTATGGTATTATCAATCACATGAGCAACATTGGGGTTATGATTCCCCCCATTATCAAGTCCCCACCACATACCCGGTTACAGTCACTGTCCATCAGCGTAGAAGATGCTGTAGAGTCACTACTTGTCTTCTCTGTGCTATACTTCCTTCACCGTGCCCCCCTTACATTATGTGTGCTAACCATAATACCCCTTAATTCCTTGATCCCTCCCTTCCTCCCTACCCTCCCCAGTCCCTTTCTCTTTGGTAACTGTTAGTCCATTCTTGGGCTCTGTGAGTTTGCTGCTGTTTTGTTCCTTCAGTTTTTTTCTTTGTTCTTATACTCCACAGATGAGTAAAATCATTTGGTACTTGTCTTTCTCTTCCTGGCTTATTCACTGAGCAT